CAAATCACGCCACATGGCAAAAAACAAGTAAGCTTGGCACTTAAAACAGCGTACCGAGGGTACAAACACCAAAGGGAAGAGACCAGCAGTCCGAACTCCCTACGAGAAGCCCGAACTCCCTACTTAGAGCTCGAACTCCCTACGAGGAGCCCGAACTCTCCCTTTGGCCCCGAGTCATACAAAGCAAAGACCCAAACTGGCCCGTCTTATGACAGTTCGGGGCCCCCCTTACCCGAACTCAAGACTTCGCCTCACGCACCTTTCCAGGCACTTCGCTTCCGGAGCATTGAACTGGACGAGCCACACCGTACCTGACACCAAAGAAGTCCGTATCTAGGGGCGGCGCACCTGACTGACTCAGGATCTGACGCTTGACGGCCGCATTTCAAACGGCCGCCTACTACTGTCACCTGTCACCGCTACCTCCAGTTATAGAGACGGCTCCGACAAAAAGAGCAGTGACGGTTCTGCCCCAGCAGAGCCGATGACGCCCGAACTGGTAGAAGCACGGAAATACTCATTCCCGACCTGACAGGAGTCTAGGAGTGAGTGCGCGAGGTGGTTATAAAAGGCTCTCCACCCCCAAAGATGAGGTATGCAAACTTTGCGCTATCTGGTTTTATCTTGCCTTTGAAGGATTCTAACTTCAACTTCGGAGCTTTTACACCGGGTTCTCCTCGGAGCTTCCTCATCTCCTCCGTTTCAGGTTTCCTGCTACTCAGTTCAGAGGCAAGGTCGTTGACAGCTAAGACCGGCCAGATTGTGCATCATCATATAGTGTGGGAGGTTTTGACATTTTGAACATTTATAACTCTAGTGGAATTGAGAAATCTGCATTGGGACTGCCCACTTTTCCGTTATCATTTATGGGGAGATGTTGGCCTTGGCCTTGGGAGCAAATCTGATCTCCAATAGAAAATTTTGTTTTTGGCGAAAATTTTGAATTCCATCACATCTTTGAGCTTTGCTTTGAGTTTTCCGACCACAATTCCACACGACTTACAGTAAATCAAAGAACCCACCGGCCACCAGATTAAACTAAAAAGTCAATCTAGATTGGAATAAATTATAGTAGTCTAGAAGTTCCCTGTTCCCAAAATAGTTTGATGTATTGAAAACAGATTTTAGCAAAGTTTTCCAGTACAAGGATAAGGAGATACATACAATTAATTAATAACTTCTACACAAAAGACCCATCAAGAATGCTCAACAGAAGACTCTATATATGGACCTCCTTCATTTGTGGCAGACACGTGCTGTGGGCATGGTGACACAGATTGGAGCATATTTCTTCAGTGCTTCCGGGGTCCCAATCTTTGGATCTTCAGCAACCGCAACACCTGCGATGGAGTAAACAGCGGCAGCTGCAGCAGCAAACATCAAGTCCCTCCTCCCATTGCTGCTCCCTTTGTCGTTGTTGTTGGTGGTGTTGGTGGTGCAACTCAGTTTGACTTGTTTACCGTCGGCAGCCCTTGCAGCTTTAGCAACAATTAGACCTCGCCGGGAAGTCGTCGAAATCCGCTCGGAGGCGGTAATGCCGCCCAGGAAGGAGGCTGTCATGGTGACTGAAGCCATTTCTGCAATTTGGTTGCACTCTCTACCTTCTCCCTGCTACGCCACACACACGCTTTTGGATGCACACGGATGGAGATGAAGTGTCAGTGTTTAAGGGATGCCAATAACAGGAGGAGAGGCTGACAGAAGGCCATCCATAATCTTATCTTAAGGTTTGTTTGGACCAATTGATGACAACCACGTGTTGCATTATCTTGGGAAATGGTGATTGGCATGGAACGGTCCAATTATTTGGTTTAAATGAATGGCCCATTTTGATTTAAAAAATTATAAAAATTAAAAACGGCCAAAAATCATTATATAAGTCAACGATTTAACCACTTGGGTGAGTGGATTATTGACTAAATCAATGGTTTGTGACTAAAAAGTAGTTTTAGGGTGAAACAGAACTAATTACCTGATCAATTCCTGATTTTTTCAATTCGACCAATCGGTCCGTTCCAGTTTTAAAAATCATTTTCAATTCAGCCCTCATTTGTTTTTACTTACCTGGGTAAGGTTCGAGGTAAAATTTGCCTAGGTAAGGTTTCAACGTATTTGTATAATACAAGTTATCTAGGTAAAGAAAGAGGTGAAACGTGAGAGAAAGAAAGTATTATTAGCGTGCAGGTAAAGTGTTTATCCACCTTTTAGGAGGATATTAATGGGGCACAATAGCAACAAATGAATGCAATAGTCGTGATCAATTTATCAATTGACCAATTGACTCCAATTAAATCTATACTACCTATAAAAGAGCGAATGCCCCTTTTTTCTGGAATTTTTATTAGACTTTTTTTATCCCCTTTGTCTAAGTATACAACAAGCATAAAAGGGGTATATATGTTCTTTACTCTCATTTCAGAAACTGTCCACTTATAACCATTTAGAAACTGCTCGCTTATAACTGTTTTGAAACTGCTCATGAATTATAAGTAGTTTTGTGTTAGAGATATCACCAATGTGTATGTTTTTTTTCAAAACAGAAACAACTATTGGCATATGACCTCTTGTATTCTCAGTTTTCACTTCTCAGCCTTTAAAAAAAATAGATATCAAAATAACTGTTTTTCTTTGCGGCATGGCAAGGAATTTAAGCAAGTAGATGCTGCTTTGTATTGTGGTCATTTATTTAATAAATGGTTTGTATGAAATTTAAGAAAAATGGTTGATAAATGTATTGTAATAATATTGTTTGACAGTGGCACCATTAGATGCCATTATGTGACGGTTCAACACAGGCTTAGCCTTGCCTACGCTTGGCAGGCTTACGTTAGGGACATCACCATCATTTTTGCCTGTAAGATTTTTTGGAGAACTGATGTCATCTTCAGGTAGACCACCAAAAGCTTAACGTACTCTTTGAGGAGGGGTGGTCGACCTCCTTGGGTGCCTAACCTTGGCACTCCTAGACCWTCATTCCCTTGTGGGGCGGCCCTGGTTAACGGCTAGCATGGCTACCAGGGTTCCTCATGGGCGCACACTTGCTCATGGGGACAGTGTTGGACCGGCACTGCACTGC